ATTGCAGGCATTGCACTATGCATCTATGTCCTCTATATTGGCAGGAATCACTTCGCACCACTGTGACTCTATGGCGCATTACTACTGGTTGAAATGATTTTACATCTTACGCTGCTTCGCAGTTCCTCTATTGGCTATCAGTAGCATCCTGGTCGTCATAGGCCCATTGTGCTTACGAGTCACATTTTGAGTGAAGTATCTCATAAATGTTTCGTCATGTCTCGAGATTTCTGGCGTGCAAGAGAAAAGATTGACCAAATCAAAGAGCTGCTTGCATAAGCAAGAAAGTCATCAAACTCTGCAGATCTAGCTATAAATATCATGGTAAAAACCTTAAAAATGTAACTGTCCTATCCATCTTGCAATAGCGTCACGTAATGCTTCTGCCACACGCATGTAGATGTGCTTTATAGCTCCCCATTACATTTGAAATGCTGAATAATGGTCAAGTATGTGTCCAATTGCTCTGAAAAATAAGATTAAAATAATCTTGCACCATCTTGACCCCTCAAGTTCGGCTAAAATCTGGTATCAGCACAAATGCTTGTTGAGCGATTCGGGTGCCGACAGCACAACCCGACCGCCGTTCGGTCCGGTGAAGTGCTTACTCTGCTCTGCTTGTACTTCGCAACCCCGACACAGTAGAGAAGCTATCCTATCTGGCTGTCTCCGGTCTCTACCTAGTGGTTTGGGTGTCGGTTGGGCTCTCTACAATTAAATCGTCGACTCGCCTTTCGCTGACTCTAGAAAGAAAATGTTATTCGACCAGCACCTGCTCGAAGACAACGCGTGCCACCTCGTGATCGATGATCTCAATACGCCTCGGAATCCAAACATTTACTTTACTAGTCCTTACTTCGCGCTTAATTTGGATGCGGTACATGCTGCGGCTGACTTGGATATCTTGGAGCGATGGATCCCACGCTAATCTACCATCCAGACGAACAACTGTATTCTGGTCCCAAACCACGCGAAATCCACTAGAGTATATCCTTGTATTAAATATTTCGGCAACGCAGTGTACATTGATGTCAAAATCTTCAGGTCCACGGGTACAGACGACCACTTAGCACATTAAGACACTCTCATTTCAATGTTTCGGTTGCAGGGTCCCAGCGATTGAAAATTGCCAATATACCTGCATGAATACCAAGAGTGGTCAAAGCCATCTGAGGAGAGGCTCATCAGTTTTAGCAAGAACTCCAGGTATCCAACCGCCATTTATTCACGCAAAAACACGCAAGTTGAGTCGGTGAATGCTCTTACAGTCTCAGTCGTCAAATCACAAAGCTTCTCCAAACATGTTTTAAAGACACTAGATCAAACCGATGTATTGAATACAGTGAGTGAATTTGCCTAGCTCATGACACCTTATGTATCGCTGTGGTTGAACTTACCCTTACAAACAAAAGTTTATACCAAAATTGATAAACGTGATAACTACCTAGCTTATATAAATAACATACAGTATCAACTCTAATATGCAATTAATGATACGTGAAGAAAAGAAGATGAGGATGAGCTTAAAATATGATCAAAGATCAAACGATCGAAAGATAGGTCGGAGAATTTGACTCATGGTTGGAGGCTTTAGTGAATACCAAACACCATGTGACCGCTTCCTAACTCGAATCGCCGTGGGATCCGAACTCTCAGACAACATATTGACACCACCACTCAAACCACTGAGCCAAAATCTATGTCGAAACTGGAGTGGTAAAGTCCACTACTTCAAAGCAAGTTCTGAGTAGAAATTCTTGATACTCACTCAGAAGGCTTGCCAACAAAAAAGTAAGCTGCCTTGCACATTCTTCATAACCAACACCTTCCGTGTAAATGTTCGCTAACTCGATTCGTATCTCCTCACACTCCTTTTATATCTCCGCTCACTCATTTCTGCGTATCTTCACTCACTTAATTATTTGTATCCCCACTCACTCGCTCACTCTATTGTAGGCGATGGTCAAACTAGACACACTTGAGCACCTTGGAGCCGTCTTTGTCGCCATCCGTGTCCCTGCCGCTGCCAATCACGTTTGACGGTGGCTAGTTGGGTACATCTCTGATAAAAGATTTGTGGTAGCGTCTTCTACAACGGTCGTGCTGATCGGTTATGGGCGCGTAACTCTGTCTTCACCAGACATCATCACTTATATCTCACTGTCCTCATCCGAACCATAACTCTAGCTCAACTCTGGGCATATGCCCCCCGTCCTTCTTCCTGGTGCAGCTGGAATAAATACTGTCCTCAGGGTCTAATTAGACTTCTGGGCGGCGAAAGTGACTCGGGACGATCGGGTCTGAAGCGGTGGGATGCTAGGCGCTCCATCTTGATGTGCTGGGGTCGCTTGTACAGAAGCTCAAAAAAATGAAAGTGACGCTTGGCTGGAAAAGCCGCTCCTATAACCTGCCGAATTAAATATCTTTTATTTGCCGCATTGGAAAAACAGTTACGTTTTGCAGGTTCCCGTACATTGATGATACATGGAAAGCGTTGGACAAACTCACTGAAGGCCGGATGAGTCTTCAGCTTTTGTAACACCTTTGAAAGTCGTTCAACTGCGTCGTCCGTGGGTAGGCTTACCGAACGTGAGCGAAAAAAAGTCGTGAGGATTACCTGGATCGCTACGAGCGCCGGTGTGAATTGTCGTCTGTAGAATAGACACCAATTGCGATCAGACCACAGAAAGTGAAGTGTGACCGCGTGGAGAACGTGCCACAACATCGTCGGAAAATTTTCAGTCGTCGCCTACTTGCAACTTCTTGGTCCGAGCAATGTCTTGTAATGTTGGGCGCTCAATGAAAAGCGGTGATACCAGCTCGAACTCCCGCCATTAGAGCTGCGATAGGAGCATGCAGTCGAAGAACAAATGCTGCCTCTGGGAACCAGAACCTCTAACTCACCGGTAGAAGATGGATGGCGTGCCGAAATTGCAAGACTTCGAAGACAGGTGGTGGGATTTTGCGCAAATACTGGCTGAAGTTGACAAACAACTTGATTTGCGCTTCGCCGACTCGCTGTAAGTGAGTTATCACTGGATGTAGCTTCCTCGGTGGCTTGGATGTCCACACAGCACATAAAAGTGCAGATCGCGAATCTCTTGAAGCAAGCACGTCTTCACGCCACTTGAGCAGCCTAACTGAGGAAGCAGACACATTCACTCGCTGTTCGACCGCCATAACACAAGTTGCGACACGTCAAGTCGGTTAATGGTCTGTGTTGCCTCCTTATTCAGCATCCGCAGCCACTTTGCCTGCAAGCCAGATGTTGCACACGCGAGAGTGTAATCGATGTGTCGTCCCAAAAAGTCTTGCTGCATCGGCCATGTGCTGGCTTTGCGCACAAAGTCTGCGTTCTTGCTCGATGAAAGGTCATGCCACGTGATGTCTTGTACCACCCAACTCAAGTTGCTCGACACCAGGTCGACGTCAGGCTCCACTCGAGCAGAAGCGGAAAGATCATGAGAAATCAAGCGCTTTTCATTGCCCAGCGCGATGAGGAAGCAGTATGAGCAGCTCGGCGCTCGTTGTCAGCCAATTCCACGCGCGTAAATTGCAGAAGCAGTGCAAAACGCTTCCACTTGAGGCGCGCGTTAATACTTGGGATGCCGAGTCCGCGATCACTGCGCCATTTAAGCACGAACTCATTAGAATAAGCTGCACATGTGACTCATCCTGTTTGTGCTTGCGTCTCAGCACGAAGAGATTCAATATCGACTGCAATCGCATTACGATTGGTGCCAACATCGACACATACTCCGTATAGTGACACAGACAGGAGAAAAATCATCGTCTGTGCAACCACAAATTGACCACAGAGCGTGCGTGCGCGCCGAAACCACGCCTTGTAGCCGTGTCGGACGAGAAACTTGATGATCGTGTCGTCGACGGAAACCTATTCGAATGGGATACCGATTTCTTGTCTGTCTCCAAACGGTCGAGCACTTGAACGCCAGGAAGCAAGTGGCAGTTCTCTTGTCGATTAAGCGCCAAAGGTACCGACTTGAACAAGTTGAGCTTCGCGTAGGAACTTCTGCAATAGTCCCCACGAGCTGAAGTCGCGTCTGCTGGTTCGGACCAAGCGCACAAGCAAAGTTTAGTCATCTACAAAGAGCATGCTTGTAGTTGTGTAGTTTGCGTTAATACATCCCCTTGGCAATCGTCAAGACGAGAAGAAGCGCGGACAATGAATTGCCTTGATACACGCCTCGCGTCGGATGCTGTGCGGGCAGCGGTTGATCAATAGATGCGCTTGTGCATTCGTGTACAATGGCTTTATCTTTTGGATAACGACGCTGCCACGCCGCAATCTCTCGTGTTACCGGATCATGTTACGGCAGTAGACTTGACCAAACGCTTTCTGAAAGTCCAAAAACATAATGAACACCTCTTCGTCATAAGCTGTCACGAGGTCTTGCAAATCAGCGATGAACCGCATGTGGGGTGGATCGTCCGTTCTTTGAGGAATCCCTACCGTTTTGCATGTATCAAGTCGGCCATGACTTGCTGCGAACAATATTTAAGTGCTTTCGACAACACCTTCACATTGATCTGCGTGAGTGCGATCGATCGGTAGTTGCCTGGTTCAGCCCTCGATCCCGTCTTCTGTAGCAGTACCACGGCAGACTTGCACTGAGATGGAAGCAGGATGCTTAGGCACTCGTCGGACACATCCTGGGCGGCCCTGTAGTACTAGAGGTCAGCCTCATTCATGCCAGACAACGATGTCGCTCTCATATGGCAAAATGCATTTGCGAGGACGACAGCTGTAATTGGTGCGTCAAGCGTACGATCGATTTTTTAAACAAAGTAGACAATCGAGTCAAAAAAAAGCTAACGCTGCATGGCGAAGAATCTCCTCTTCTGGACTGTTGGGATTTCCCATCTCGGATTATCAGTCGTCACGGAGTTACACATACCCAGCGTGTAACAGGGTTACAATTACCTATGTATGAAAGGGCGTTTCACATAAGATGGTGTGACCGTACAAAGGTGTGGATCACACAGTTTAGTAATCACACAATGGTGTGGCTACGCCGTAATAAGCAGCCACTACGTGGCAGGACTGCCGGTTTTTACTATCTAATTCGAATAACCCTAAACCCTCAAATACAGTTTCAATTTAAAAAGGAAGAACTTCAAAGCCTTCGTTGAGGTTCTTAAAGTACTCTTAAGGGTAGCGGATTGCAATCCGCTACAATCGTACTAGTTCTTGTATAGAACGTAAGGTCCGTGACCTTAGCTTAGCTTCCTCTAAGCATTGAGCTGCGACAGCCTTGCTGCAACAGTACTCTAGGAAGCGAAGAGGTATACTTTAGATTTCGTCGAAACCCTTCTCCTTGGTGTTCCGACTTGCTCGATTGAGACTTGACGCAGACTCGTGTCCAGTGGACAGAAGAAGAACTTGATGGATTCTTGTTGTTGGCCGCTTGGAATCCGAACTTGGTGTCTCGATTGTATGGACTTACCCACGTGACGGTTTTTCTGTAGTTTTTCATGGTTTCGTTTAGCTGCTGTACGATATCGAGCAGGAGTGCGATGCAGGCGTCCACAACCGCTTGCGTGACTTGCATCCGAAGCTTCTTCTGCACATCTTGCAGATTTGTCATGATGCTCGTCTTTCATTTCTCCCACGCCTTGCCTGGGTTCTCTGCGGGGCACAGCTGATCATAAATCAGCTCGGCTTCCTTCTTAATCGCAGATACAACTTTCGTGTAGTCGAGAAGGTAGCGTGGAGACTTCCAGTCACCCCGACATGCAGCTGTTTGCCCAGACGAACGATTACGAAGTGAGCGGGATGGTCGCCGGCGTGTTTCGGTAGGAAGTTCTTCGAATTGTCGCAGAAGCGGTTGTACAAGCAGGAGGTAGTACAGCTAGTTTCTCTGAGGAAGCAGACCGGTGACCACACGCTTCGTGTCGAAATAAATCTGCCATGCCTCAGCTACGCCATCCACTCCAAACAGATAGATCGTCTCGTTTCATACATCAAGTCAGGATGTGAAGACTCGAGTCGAGGGTCGGGATGAATTTTGAGGTCGCCCAACATGAAGTGCGTCACTTGATCCTCGAGCCTATCAGTCTCAAGTTTGAAGAAGTGTTTCTTTACTGTCAATCCGCAGGGGCATACTCGTTAGGGATGTATATGGGAATACTCTCGGCCATCACAGCCGCAACAAGATATTGACTTACAACCGACAGCTGTGGGATTTAAAATGCCGAGTCGGAGCCAGGGTTGTCAAAGTGATGTACTGACGTGTTATAAGGGTAGTACCCATCAAGCTTACACAGCTCTTCGAGGTCGTCGAGCAAGTGACCCCGCCACTGCACCTCAATCCATTGCTGCTGTTGTGCATATCGAGGTCCGACCCGTAGCAAGCGAAGGAGCGTATTGGGTTGCAGCATTTGCGTTTTATGCGCGGGAATCCTTTCGACCGGCTGACCAGTGAGATACTGGATCGAAATACCATTGACAATGATCGTCGGCGCAATATAAATAAATGCCAGCTTAAACATTCCCAAAGCCTTGGTCCCTTGGGATAGCTCTCACATCGACTTGGACGTGTTCCACAATTTGCCGCACGCCATAAAGTTGTCGAGGCGCTTGACTGGAATTGTTGTTCCCATCACGTTTTTCACTTGGCGGCAAAAGTGAAGTCTTGACCCGGCTGCGACGCTGACAATAGGCGTTTGATTGTGTGCAACTGCGCGAGCTCATCAATTTCAGTCCTGTTGCATGCCATCCTTAGCGACAGCGCGCTGTTGAAGACGAGCGGACACTTGATCGTCTTTTCCACAATTTGGTTGGTACTCGCGACATTTTTGAGCAGCTTGCACACTCTGTCGACCTTCCTGTCTGCTCCCGCGTGACGGCCAGGGAGGGTACTAAGAAGCACCGTGTTTCCTCGTCGAGCATAGAGTCGGTCACTTCCATGACTGGAGATGCATTTGATGCCTACTTGATCTTTGTGTGGTGCTAACTCACAAAGAAGGCGGTATTGGACGCTTCACATTCATAGGAATGATCTGGCAACACACGCCGTACTTCTTATCGGCCGTCATGTCCCTCGAATCGAACGAGACTGCCATACATGATATTAAGTTTTCGGTTGCGATGCCATCAGTGGTATCGGATTCTGCTTCAGTAGAAGAGCAGTGGTAACGAGGCTGCTACAACCTCGCTTCATATTGTCGTTCGTGACGGTGGCGAAGCCGTCGATCAAGAGCAACTGCCAAGGAGAGAGTTCTTGCCGGTCGAGCTGGCGGAATTTGCGATCGGCAGTACATTGTCCCGACTACTTGGGGAACTTACGAATTGGTTGGCAGCAAGTTCTGGCCATACTGAGGTCTGCTCTGGAGCTAACCACTCCGTTTTTTGCTTTTTTCGGCAGTCATCTAGAGTACGGTTTGCTTTGGTGGATCTTTCTTTGCTCTGGCGTACAAACTCCGAGACGTTTCGTGATGTCACTGCAGTTGTGAAGCGGATTCAATGAGACACGCTGGACAAGGAAAGTCGTCGCCAGTCGTCCCAACGTCGATGCCGTGGTGCTAGCGGTAGCCGAACGACAGACGTTCTGACTGGAACAGAGCATTCTTGCTTTGCGCTGGATGCAATTTATTATTGAACAGGATCTGGTCGCACACCGACCCAGTCACCGTCAATGCGCTTGGTCATGTGCTGGTGAGGAATTAGATGCGTAAGGTAGCAGACGTGATTCCCGTGATGAGGCTTACTTCGCGGAACGTGTCGTGCACCGGCTGGGATCCAAATGAGAACAAGCGGTGCAGGATCACGTCCGTGTTGGTGTCCGAGTCGCCCTTTGCGATATCGATGGAGTACTTGCTACCTAGCATGTCGAATTACCTAAACACGACTCCATCATCATTGATTTTGACCTTCGTGCGCTCCGGCCTTGAGCAGGCTCTTTTAGTTATCATTTTCACGCGCGGATTGTCACTGGTGAGCTTCGATACTTGCCCGATCGCGTGCTTGCCGTTCTGCTACCCGATACACTCATAGCCATGGTGCACGCCAGCCTGCAACACCGTGATCTTCTGGAGCGTAGTCTGACCGGTGACGGTCACCATGTCGTATTTGCGAGCAAAAGATCGTATGGTCGCGCCTGCTTCATGCTAGTCGAGCTGAACGACCGTCACTACCAGCGGCGTACTAAGGCTTGATCGCTTCGATGTCACATACGAGGAGCTTCGAGATCACTACACGATGACGCGCAGCTCTGACTTCAGCTTTATCGCATCAAATCGTCTCTTGCTGCCTCAACAAATCCGCCATCATCGAACGTGTCTCAACACTTGGATGGGGGAAGTATTGACGGGAGGCTAAGTGCGATCCAAAGACTGGTTGTTAGAAGCAGCAGCAGCGTCAGGAGGCGAGTCGGTACAGTTGGGGTCGCGTTCATGAGATCGTCATTGGGGTCAACTGCATCAGCAGAGACAACGGCCGGCAGAGCTGGAAACACAGGCGGCGGAGGCGACGGGGTAGGGGGAGGCTACGGTATAGTCGGATGAGTACCTTGCAATGAGCCAGTTGAAGGTCAAACGCATTCCGAGCAAGATGGGTTGACCGTGGTTCTCGGCTAGATACTGAGTGCGGACCCACAAGTCATGCCAATTACAGCGCGGTGGGAGATGGGGCGGCAAATCTGCCGGATTCATCATATTTTAGAAGAAACGGAAAATGACAGCCGGCTGAGGGCTGGGGGAGGGAGGGTTCGTTTAAATAGATGACTTCTGGAAAAGCCGGCAAATTGAGAAGTATTTCGACCATTCAGGTGTAGATTGGTCGATTTAAATATATGATTCCATTCTGACCTTCTCTCCTACAAGAGAGACTCAAAACAAATCTCACATGTTATGAGCCGAACGACGAAATTTGATACTTCAAGTTATCAGGCTGAATCATCTTTAGCGGCAAACGATCGTGGACCATTTGTTGCCCACCTTGACGGCTATTTGAAGGCATTAAGCTGGAATAGTCATGATGATACTTTTTTAGCTTCTCAGAAATTGACAAAAAGGTAAGGGAGTCAGGAAAATCGCAGAGTAAAAAGCTAAAAGAGGTGCTGAGTCGAGTAATTTTTTTCGGTCCTGGGTTGAATGGAAAGGATGAATATTCGAGCATTCAGTCGCATCACAACTCATCTCTCAAAATGGCTCAGAACACGTTAAATGCAGTGTGTGTTTTGGTGCTGAACGAATGTTACACCATTTAAAATATTTTGTTGAGCAGTGGCGGGTATGCAGTGGTGATTTGTTGTGGGCCCAATATACCGGGTGCTATGAGAAATCAATAGGAAGTCAAACTGGAGGGCGATACAGCGCTAGACATCATACTTGGAATAGATGAACTTTGCTAGAAAAGTCTGTTCTAAGGGCTTGGCCGCGACGATGTGAAAAAACTGTTTTACAAGCTCGGTTTGCTGAGAGGGCATTCGGTCTTTCATGGAGCAAGGAGCTTATGCTGAGGCGATTAGGATAGCTGGCTCTCACCCAGCAGACCCGGGCTGAGTTTTCTTCAGTGTTCCTTGAAATCTTGGTACTAGACAGCTTAATCACCTAGAAACCGTGTAAATAAACTTGTCGTTTGAAGGATTTTGACCGAAACGGCGTTGAGACATGGCGGTTTTATATCCGACATTAATTTTGCAATACAACTTTTAATGTAATAATCAGCCAAAATTTCTACAGCGATCGCATTTTAATTTTTTATGCCGATAGGTTTGCAAACCGCATTCGGAAGGAGCATTACTTACACTTCATGGCTGTGTGCGATGCCAGTGGAAGGCGGAAAATGTATGATAACGGGTCGGGTTTCATTAGCAATAAAAGTCAAAGTTTGGTCTTTTCGGCAAAAAATCATGCGTCAGCATACGGTACCATTCTATTATCCCCAAACAGAGTCGCGATACGGATGAAACGTAAGATCATGAAATAGGCTCGGAGCATGCTGCATTACAAGGGCATGTCATCGATAGGGTGAGCAGTAGCTGTGAGCAACGCAACTTATCTGATCAATTGGTCTGTAATTACCGAGTGGTCGAGCATGACGCCATTTGATGTCAGCTTTAAGGCAAAGCCTCAAATGGCACACGTGAGTGTTTTTGAGTCGCATGGGTACGCTTTCGTAGACACTGCAAAAAGGACGAGGTATGAACCCAAGTTTCACAATGTGTGTTCGTCGGGTACAAAACACAAAGAGGACCGTGTCTACGACGTAAAAGCGTCTCAAGGGAAAGGTAGCACGATCGATCAAGCTCGACAAGTGTGAAGTGAGCAGTATTTTCATTAAATCGTACTCAGGTCAAGAAGCGATCGTATACGTAACCAAAATGGATGCTACAGCAGCCCGATCCTGGATGCTCAACGTGCGATGAATAGAGTGCGTCGGAGAACCCGTTCAAGCGCTTATGATGAGTGAGATTGAGTCGGAACTGGATCCTAATGTGCAACAGCATCCGGCAATAGAAGATGGGACATTGACTGGACAGAAGGTAGCTGGAAATCATGCCCTTCAACCGCTTCAGAAGGGTCATTTGGTATTCTATTTGGGAGCAGAGCGATTGAGGTGTCTTCGGGAGCTAGTATTATGACCAGAAGTCGGCTTGTTACTAAATTTTGAACAAAGGTCGGAAAGAACCATGATTCACCTTTCCCGTAGAGTCCAAAAATCAACTAAGATGGATTCATTGCCGAAGCCGTATTGGCGTATGCGGCAAAGATCGACGACGCTTCGACACTACAAACACGTACGCTTAAGTAATCACAAGTAATAAATCAGTTGCTTAACAGGAGGCAATGAAGGCCGAAGATTTATCACACAAATAAATTGGTACTTGGTTGCTTAAGGTTGAGGGATAGCTCATCCCATTGGGTGTCGGTTGATCTTCGCCGATCAGCGCGACAAGAGCGGTCGAGTTTTACGCTACAATCAACTTATAGAAGAGACGCACTTCTCTGTGGCAAATATGCGCACAGTTTGTGTTGTCTGGGCGGTTCGCGATGCAGAAGCTCATTAAATGGAACAATTAAATGCAAACATGATTTTCCTGAACAGAAAGTAAAAAAGGCCGTGAATACATGGATGTAACTTCCGGTATTAAAGACGCCGGTGCACGTTTGTCTTCTAGATCAGGCAACTTACGTGTTAAAGCAAGCAACATGCGCTGAAACAAAACTTTACAAGGTGTCTTCGTTTCGAATGATTTCAAGGTTTGCGGTACAGATCAGTGCGTGTATGTAAAGCGCGCCAAAATCGGCTTCATACATTTCTCTGTCTGCATGTGGACCATATGATAACTGCAGTCAAGGCCTGTGCTGAGATTCTGGAAACAAAGATGCTAGCAGGAATGCGTTCAAGTTTAAAGATTTGGACGACGCAAAATTTATCTCGGGGCTGGAGATGAACCGTGACAATAGTGCTGGGACGCTGATGACCAAGCAGATACGGTACATTGACGATGAGTCGGAGTGATTTAATCAGCAGAGCGTCATGGTGTTCGACAACTTTTGTGATTCACAACTTAAGCTGACAACAGGCTGGTATCCATTAACAGATGCCAAAGCCACCGAGGAGTAGCGGCAAATTGAGCATTTCAAAGAACTAAGTACAGCCACAACTTTGGCTCAAACGTTGACTGTGAAGAAGGATGTACTGCTCAACGGCATAGTCAGCTGCGGAAGCGCTTGGCCTAGGTGAAGAACGACGTCATCTGCTCCGATGTCCAGTTTTTAAGCGCGGTGAGCCAACCCAGCTAAAATTATGTGGATGTGTCACAGTGACTGCCTAACAACGATCAATTGTCTAGTAGTACAGCTCTAGAAAGCTCATCTAGCCAATGCACAAGCCTTTTTTGAAGACAGATTCGTCCACAGTCGTGAAGGACAATTTAAAATGGATGAGAAGATTTGCATAAACACTTCTTTTGGTGTTTGCGCGATAATTAACCTATCACCAATAGAGCAAGCGGGTAATTATGCGCTGGAAAATTCCTTTCTTGGAGGCTTCAAAAAAATTGTAGTCTGCTCGCGAAGATTAAGGAAATCGTCAAATAAAAGAGTCCGGTTCTTTTGCTTCAAAAGAAGGCTTCGTTAGCTGACTACTCGTACAGATATAACACATTAGCCGGCGTGGCAAAGCTTTTCACCCTTTCTGATGTAGAGTATCGGTGCCGAGCGGCAAAATTTACATTTTCTCAACAAGCAGGCTTCGCTGATTACAAAAATAAAAATGTTAAGGGCATCGCATTGAAACCATGGTAATGGCCACTGCCGTCTGAAGTATTTTTTTATTTCGGGAACTAGAACATTTTCCTGACGCACTTTCCTATCCATAAATAACACGTGCTGTGGATCACTCGCCAACACGTACCACAACATGCTAATCCCTCAAGTAGAACTATAAACTTCCAATTTATGCACTTTGCACTATTTACATTAGGCACATTCATGCGACCAAAACACGCGCAGTTACTGCGTAAACGGTTTATCCTAGTAGATCCACTTGATAGTATGCGTGGAGATTTGACTTCCTCTTTCTGCATTTGCACCAACTTTATGAGGCGTATCTGTGCGACTAAAACACGCCTATGAACTACATATCCAACTCGTTCTCGCATTTGACTTTATATATTGCCAATTCTGTTTACTTAGTATATATCGCTGATCTGACCGTACTCGCCATTTACTTTATCCTCGGGCCTTGTATTGCACCATCCTCGTTGCTCGAGCAATTCGTGATTCATCCGCTCCGCCACTTCGTACTTACTGTTGATGGCTTTAAGGCACGGTCTTGTTATGACCGATTGCACCCGTTTTGTGCTGTTCATAAATTCTGCCCGCATCGGAGCGAAGGGTTTAACCCATTCACTCCATTGCTTCTTATGCTGACCACTCAGTATGCAAACTTTATCGACCTCCTTCCACGTGAGGATTGCCAAAGAATAACCCCTAATCAGAAAGGATGAGCGTCTGATTTCATCGCATAAGTCGCATTCAGTTATTTTTTCACTGATAGACGCCGACATTCAGATTCAGATTGGAAGAAATCCGTATTCATTGCACACGCCGATCGTATTTTGACCACTCAGCATGATCACCGCGCTTTTTGCGTCCGCGATCTGTGATTGCCGTGGTAGTTGGAGAAGGACGCGAGAAGCTTGTCCAGTTTTGTCCACCACCATGTAGCGCACCTTTGGCAGCACATACAAATGGACTTCATTACCCCACGCAGCAAGCGTGCTTTAGCTTAATATAGCGCATGGATGATTTTGGTCTCTGCAACTAGCAGTTTCATTGATCTCATCAGTAAATCTCAGCTTCATCGCGTGAAATTTCCGTGGTCCGTTGCACGACTGAATTATTATCTCATTATCGGCCATCAGTGCGGATATCGCTGACAACCGACCTGGGTTCTTGTAGTTAGTCGGCACAGACTTGCCAATTGGGCTCATGCACTGCCAGCCAGTAGAAGATGAAGGTGCAGTCTCTCATACATGACGAGTAATCAACGGGAATTTCAGCCGGGTAGCTTGGGTAGTCCGCTCGACAGTCATCAGAATGGAAGTTGTTTCGTAATTCACTGTCCTTGTCCGATCTATGAGCTGGAAAGAGCACAGAGTTTGTGAGCACTGTCCTACTTTCTTGGGGATGGACAGTTGAGTAACTTGTATCCCTGACAGCAGTAGACGCGGGTTGCGCTGCACTTTTGTTCTCGCTGCTTTCTTTGCTCTAAGGAAGATGGACAGATGGGTACTGCATTTGACAGTCGGAGCAAAATGCCCTGTGACAATCTAGCAATTCTTTTACGTCTACCACAGTAAGATGCAGCTCTTTCTCATTAAATTAGAAATTCTGTCACGTCCTTGATAGATCTTTCGATGCTACGTATACACCATTTGAAAATGACTCGTTTAAGTATCCTTTAAGCATATTATTGAACATGACATACAGATAATGGCTTCTTCTGACGCTTTTGTAACAAATTAGCCGATTTCATGATAAGAGGTTCGCTCGAAAGCCTTCCTGAGCACTGTAATCAGCCTTATTCAATCTCTTCGTCGATCAAAATTTGAGCTATGACCAATCAGTCTGACGTTGATCATACCAACTTAACGAATCTTAGCTCTGCTGACGACATTGTTCGGGATTCTTGATCTCGGTCAAGATATATGATGTAAGAATAAAGGATTTCCAGTCGAATTAAAGCTTCCTTGGTCTTATCCTTGATTCTAAGGTTTCCTCCTGACACCATGAAATTCGGCCAAGCTGATTAAGGCATATTTGCTGCTACAAGATAGCTGCATTGCCGTGGTCATTAAAGAAGACGCGAGAAACTTGTTGTTTGCTCAAAGCTTGAACAGTCTTAAGCATCATCAGATAGCACACTCTAGGCAATGCAATCGTACGAGCTCCATCGATCCATGACGCAAGCGCACTCTAGCTTCATACAGCAAATAGACGTATTTGCTCTCTAGTAAGTGCTTACGGTAATACAACGCGCTTCTTCTCCTGAGTTTCAACGCGGTCGACTCAAATCTCTGTGGTCCGTGTCAATAGACTACGCAAGGTAGGCGGACGTGTTCCCTGTCCTGCGCTTGGGTTCTCTATGACTTCAATCGCCTCACTTGACTGCAACAAGGATCGCCAAGCAATTGAATTGCCATCCCATTATCGGTCAGCGACAACCGAGCAAGGTTCTTGTGTTCAGTAGGCACAAATCCTGCTGATCCGTATCGATGAATGGAGGATAAAGAGCTCAGTATCTCCGTAATGGGGTCACACGAACCACTGTATGAAAGGGCGGGTCACACGAGGTTGTGTGTCTGTACATAGGTGTAGACTACACAAGTAGATGTAATTGCACAATGGTGTAGCTACACCATAACAGAAGCCACTAGGACTGTCAGTAGTAATGCATATCAGTTAATTTTTACTATATTAATAAGGTATTACCAGATTAATTAGGGAATCCTAACGTTTTAGATATTGGCGGCTCTGTCGCAACTGAGACAGTTAAACAAATTTTTAGTTATTAGCAAAGAGCGTCTTTACCTCGGTCAAGGTATTAAGTACTCTTGGAGGTAGCGGATTGCAATCTGCTACACTCGTACTGGTTTTTGTAAATAACGTTAAGTCGGTTACGCTAGCTTATCTTTCTCTAAGCAAAGAGCTACGGTAGCCCCGATGCATCCTCGTACCTGTGTCGGCAGTAGATGTGGGTTATGCTGGACTCTCGTTCTCGCTGTCCCCTTTTGCTCGACGGGAGATAAACAGCTAAGTACCTGGTACCATTGCTGACAGTAGAAGCAGGATGTCCTGCAACAAGTGCTTGAGCTTGTGATGGAAAAACATATGTCGCTCATCTTCTTGTGTTGAGCTTGGATGGTCTCGTGCTTGGTGAAGATCACCACAGGACGTTCATCTTCGATAAAGCTTGAAGAGCGGATAGCTTGCGGCTTAGGGTGGAGCCAGACTTACTCCAAATTCAACGTGAAGGTTAACGGCCGAGATTGGGTGTATGTAAAGTAAAGTGGTCAACACTATTGTCAAGTTGAGATTGAGGTGTCTTGCTAATCAATTCGTAGAAAAACATTGAAATATGCTGAAGACGCTTGTTTTCATAAAAGCTACTGATATCTATCAAAGTTGATTTCAGCTATAATTTGAAAGGATTTAATTGAATCACATGAATACCACGGACCATTGTCTGATGCTAATATTTTGCTTTGTGAATCTTTTTTAATTTCCATTTCGATTCGTAACGGTATGAAGTTTTGCAGAAGAGATTTTGTTCATTCATGTAGTTCATTAGAGCTCTTACAAAGCAAAAGCGATTTTGATTGTAATTAGCTTTATTTTCATGAAAATGAACGTCATAAGTTGTTTTTAATGCTTACTTAAATGATTGAGTAACAAGTTCATTAATGTTAACGATTTTGCTTTACATACACTCAGTATCAGGTGTACATTCCAAGTTGCTGATGACGCTGCAAGTCGAATTATGAAGAACCTGGACTCTACCTAAAGCCATGAAGATTCCGCTCTCACGGTCTATATAAGTGGTAAAGCGATAGCTGAGTCACGAAGCGCCACTACTGGTCTGAATGTCGCGAGCGAAACGGTCATGACCAAATGTGGTGACTGCAGGAAAGATTAGTAGGCAGCAGCATACTTTTCGCTTTTTCCGAAAACTAAAACATCGCTTGTGGTCTAAAAATGCACTAGAAGGTGATCGAGTCCATAAAGATGACGTGTTAAAGGTGAGCAAGATACGTGCTTGCCTTCGGGGATGTGCTCGCAGTTTGTCGAAAAAAAAACAGAAATGGTTTAGTTATCTACGACGTTTAAGTCAATGTACTGAAAGCAGTAGTTTGAAACGGTTAAGGGGCTGCGCTCTGATAAAGGAAGTCGTGAACAGCACTAAGGGTAGTAGTATTTGTAGCAGAAAACCGTGGCTTATAGCCATCAATAGTACGGAATGGCGGATTGGTTAAGTCACGAAATTCTCGAAGAAATATAGAGAACTAGAAGTGCGGGAGGATTAAGTGGACGACGGGTGCAGTCAGATCAGCGATGGTAGCATGATAAATATCCTCAAGTCAAACATGAAGCTGAACGAGTTTAATTGCGAGTTAAAAAACGTATGTGTGGTACCTGCACGTGTTTTGGTCGCATGGATATGCCTCCTATAAAAAGAGCGAAATGCGATAGTGAGGGTTGAAAGTTTTAACGTTTCTGTTAATGGACTCTGCTAAGAGCTCAAAAGGATATTGACATTACAACTCCCACAAACGCAAGGTCACAATGACTTCGTCTCTAAAGCGAATGGCGTATACCCACCACTCCGGTTTATTAGGACAAATAGATGTTTTTCACGGTACTATGTAAGGTGCTGACACGTTAACTTTGGAACTGAATGTCTGACTTTAAACCTCGTACACTCGTCATCAAGTGAATTAGCTGCAGAAGCCCTCGGTTCATCACCAGCTTCCAGCTGCTGCTGTTGCTGTCGCAGAGAATCCAACAGCTCCTCGCGCGTAACTTCGGTTTACGTGGAAGTATGGGTCATCATACCGATGCCACCGCGCCATTCAAGTGCATATTATAAACAAAATATGAGCTGAAACAAGTAGAACGTGCCTGTTAGATTGCAACACAATCCAACTAGTGTTGATGAATGTTGTCGAAGGTGCACCAGTAGAGCAAACAGTGCATCCTTAATCAAGGCAAACAAACACTTTCGATCAACACCGAAACTGATTTTTATTTATCTTTTTATCGTGATCTTAAAATTTTGAATTTCCTAAATATACTAAATATATATGGTTAAATCATGCAAAACTACTGGCTACCTAGCCCCGTACCATGTGTGTGGTCACATTATGCACATCTCGTGTGACACACACCCCTGTTATTAGGGTTCGTGTAACCCCGTTACAGATGTGGTCGAGGTTGGAAAGTACAACAGCGAGCTGCAGTTGCGATTTACAAGCCTTGAGACTACGCGCGAGATTGGACATCAATTTGTTTAACCTCTCTGAAGATGTGGTTCCTATACGTGAAGCTTTGATGCGACATATGTCGTGGGCGTTTGCATCTCCCAATCTAGCAACTTAGAGTGCGTTTATATTTTCTTTTTTACGGATGGCTCTAATAGCGGATAATGTCAAGAAAATGAAACGCGAATTGCCGCAATGGCATAAGTCATTTTTCATGAAGCGCTAATTGCAGCGGGGTTACCGAAGCTCTTTCGCTAAGAGGAACCTTGGTTAAGGTTGGTACCTTCGTTATATACTTAGAGCCAGTACGAGTGTAGCGGGCGCACTTAACTTACTCCAAGAGTGATTGCAACCTTATCCCAAGGCTAATTAACCCTTCCGTTTAAAAGGTTTACTGTATTTCTTGGTTTGATTCGCGGCAAAGCCGCCCATGTCTATAAGCTGTCTTATATATACATAGCAAAACCTGATTATATGCATAACTATTGGTGGTCCAGCCACGTACAGACTTCTTGTTAACTTGAGTCACACCGGTTTATGTAACCCGCACCATTTTGAGATCACATTATCTTGTGTTGCCAGCACCCTTCATACCAGGGCACGTAAAACCCCGTTACATCATCCATCAAGATTGTGAACACCTACAGCTCACACTAAACTGTTGCATTGAATAAGGTTCGCGTGTCTGAGACACCAAAAGATTACCTGGACCGGCTTCCGGTCATCATTTTCTAGAACGCCTGCAGACAGAGCCCTTCTTCGTCTTCTGCACGCGGTACAACATTGAACAGCACGATCGTGGCTTCAAGGGAAGCGCAGCCCTAGCTCTCGGTTACCGAGTTTGTCAGTGACAGGGTCGCACGACTAAGAACACAGACACGAAGTCTACATCCGACCGCGCAACGCTCCCGCCACGAGCTGTAGATTACCTCGTCAGGGATATGAAGGAAGTCAACTACGAGTCAGATACTCCTTTCCAGTGATAAGAAGAAGAAGAAGGCGAGGTACTTCGAAGCGCGACATGAGCCCTATTCGAACCTTGTGGACGACGTGTCTGATTTTCGACCTCTCGACTTCCGGGGAGAGTGGAATCATTAACAATGACCTCTACGAGGCACAAAAGTAGCAGTTGGATGATATCGGCAGGGCGGCTTCGATGCCGTGCATCCACGGTCGGTCCTTGCCCTTGTGTAGAATACGGCATCCGCTCGGCGGATTCCGCTGCAGAAGCAAAAAACACGATCACTCAATCGTTGGGCGTCTACGTGATCGCCCCCCCGGCCACTACAGAAGCTGAGCCTTACGAATAAAAAGATCACCGAGCTTGCTTCTTGGTTCCTAAAGAACCCCCCGGTGGATACGTACCGAACATGACTTCATGCCCAATAAGAAGGCGCTCCTAATTCGCGATGCGGACGATTCCTGTTGTGCTCGTCGATGGAGAAACCCCTGCAGATGACGACGATCTCTTTGAGGAAAAGGTACAGCGGCACTGGAAACGTTTCTCGCTGAACAACTTATATTTTAGCTACAAAGAGGTGGACGCGGTATCGAAACGCCAACTTCGGTTTGAGTTTGCCAAACTCAAGGCGCGTCGCCGACTTCCTTCGGTTTGTCGCCCTGCGACGAGCTCTGTTGTAACTCAGACGGAAAGTCTGCAACCGCAGCAGTCCAGGGCCATAGCATCAGTTCAGCTCAAGGCCCTTCGGCTTTCCTGGCTATCGCCAAGAAGCGCTGGGCATACGACGACGCGAAACGTCATGATCCCTCTCCCCCTGGGTTTGACCCTGGCGACGACCTCGACCCAAAAGACGTTCTACAAGACAACGGAAACCACCATTCTTGTCGAATAGAGTTGGTGGCTTATGATGACGTCTTCGTCTGTCCAGGACTCGCAATACTCTTCGAGCCCTTGAGGGCGAGGTCCATCGCGATCGGGACTCCGCTGAGCATTATGCTGGGGTCGCATACCGCTGCGCGGAAGACCTAGATAGCTTGGAGCACGTTGTGCACCGGCTTCCTCACGTTAAGGGTGTTAAGTATGCTCCTGTAATTAATGCTTCCATTAACTCATGAGTTATGGTGATTGGCTCGAGCGGTTTGGCATCATGATGCTAAACGGCAAGTTGTGAGCTCAATTCCCACTAAGGATGGTTGTGCGTGTTTAATCTTTATGGTTAAGACTGCATATGTCTGCATATTA